CCATGGCCTTAGCCAGACCAGTTCACAATGGTTCTAGTCTGGCTGGTTTACCATGGCCTTAGTATGGCCGGTTCACCATGGTTCTAGTCTAGCTGGTTTACCATGGCCTTAGCCTGACCAGTTCACTATGGTTCTAGTCTGGCTAGTTTACCATGGCCTTAGCCTGACCAGTTCACTATGGTTCTAGTCTGGCTGGTTCACCATGGCCTTAGCCTGGCCAGTTCACTATGGTTCTAGTCTGGCTGGTTTACCATGGCCTTAGCCTGACCAGTTCACCATGATTCTAGTCTGGCTGGTTTACCATGGCCTTAGCCTGGCCGGTTCACCATAGTTCTAGTCTGGCTGGTTTACCATGGCCTTAGCCTGGCCGGTTCGCTATGGTTTTAGTCTGGCTGGTTTACCATGGCCTTAGCCTGGCTGGTTCACCATGGTTCTAGTCTGGCTGGTTTACCATGGCCTTAGCCTGACCAGTTCTCCATGGTCCTAGTCTGGCTGGTTTACCATGGCCTTAGCCTGGCCGGTTCACTATGGTCCTAGTCTGGCTGGTTTACCATGGTCCTAGTCTGGCTGGTCTACCATGGCCTTAGCCTGGCCGGTTCACCATAGTTCTAGTCTGGCTGGTTTACCATGGCCTTAGCCTGGCCGGTTCACTATAGTTTTAGTCTGGGTGGTTTACCATGGCCTTAGCCTGGCTGGTTCACCTTGGTTCTAGTCTGGCTGGTTTACCATGGCCTTAGCATGGCCGGTTCACTATGGTTCTAGTCTGGCTGGTTTACCATGGCCTTAGCATGGCTGGTTCACTATGGTTCTAGTCAGCCGGTTTACCATGGCCGGTTCACTATGATTCTAGTCTGGCTGGTTCACCATGGTTCTAGCCTGGCTGGTTTACCATGACTTTAGCCTGGAATGTTCACTATTGATGAGCTAACAACTTTTCTTAATGTATTGGAGAGAACATTTATGTTTTTTGGCCTCAGTGAAACCTGGCTGCATTCTGAAACTAATTGCGATTTATATAATATTCCAGCTTACAACTTGATCACAATCACA